GCAGCAGGAGCGACGGGGTGTGCAGCCCTTCTAAAACTGTCTGCTCACGCTGTGGAAGCCTAGTTACAGATGCTCATGTGTTTCAGAACTTAGTCATAGCTGTATAAACACCATGAGAAGGATCCATACATTAGGATGAAGAAGCATCCATCCCTAAAGGCAAAACATGGCAAAACAGTTCACAAAGTCCCAAAATAGTAACATTAAAGATTAAGTAAAACTAACAAATCACAGCCTCTCCATCCAGCAATGAGTTTTAAAACAGGCAAGTTAACTCTGATGACAGATCAGCCCCAGGAAGCCACAGCTTTCTCTGAGAATAACCACTGTTTTCTCTAAATGTCTATGTAGGAAGGTCCCTAGGAAAGCCTGGGATGTTTCATTCTCACTCCCAGCAGTCCTGGTAGGTTGCTGCTTCTGGCTTACTGCTCCTAGCCTTTCGTAACTGGAGCTTTCATTACTAAAAGGCTGCATTAAAATATATAAATTCCTAAAAGTATGTGAAAGCAATTGCACTTAAAATGAAATAATTGCAAACAGGGTGTAAAGGTGGAGGAGGCTGAGGCACATTTAACACTTGTAGGCAGACTTCATTCCCTCAACAAGGCACAACCTCCTGGTCCAATGTTTTCTGTCTGGCACGGCAGAGGGAGCAGAAACACTGAATTTTACCTGTGAGGAACATGTAGGAGAAAGCTAATTAGTTTTCCTTCCTCCTTTCACAGCAGGACTTCAAAATCATACCTTCTGTCAAGTTTGGGAGTTTTTCACTTAGGTTTAAGTTGCTTAAGAGCTCCTGCAGAAAGTTGTAAGTTTTAGAGATTCCAGCCCATTTCATACTGAGATCTTGGAAAACTTTTCCATTGCTCTGTTTTGGAAATCTGGATCTGTCCCTGAGTGTGTTAGGTCATGCTGTGATGCCAACACACACCCAGCCACGAGAATTAGTATTGCTGAGGTTTGGTGAGCAAGGAATCTGTGTCACGGCGCTGGTTGATGCTATATAGACTTACACAACAGTGGTTCTTTCCCTCTCTCCCCAACCTTGTTTGTCTTCAT